GCCAGGCCCAGTGGCTCATACCCAATGGGATTCCTTAAATCCCAGCACTTTGGGAGGCCAAGGTCGGAGGACCTCTTGAGCCCAGGAGTTCCAGACCAGCCTGGGCAATATGGCAAAATACCATCTCTACTAAAAATTTAAAAATTAGCCAGGCGTGGTCGCCCACACCTGTAGACCCAGCTACTCAAGGGGCTGAGGTGAGAGGATCACTTAAGCCCAGAGGGCGAGACTGCACTGAGTTGTAATTGTGCTACTGCACGCCAGCCTGGGCAAGAGAGTAAGACCCTGTCTAAAAAAAAAAAAGAATCAAGTAAAATGACAGTCTATACTTCATCATTAAATCAGAAATCAGTAGACATATAATATAGTCAATTATACAATCAGAATAAAAATATATACACCTAAGCTCCAAAGACGATCATTAGCTTAAAAGGAGTTTGTTGGTCCAGGGAAGTTGGATTGGTCAAGCACCTAATTACTTTCGGCTTTCTCAATCTATATGGAATGTGTGGAGTATCTAAAATTAGTAATAAAGAGAAAAATAACACCACAACTATTAAGAAAACAATGTATAATATAATTAAAGTGAAACAATTACAAGCAAAGTAACGCTACTTTCAAACCAAGACACTAACCTTACTTCTTTAGTGAGCTATCTACTTAAAATCTCACTGTTAAATTTCTTTGGCCAAAAGATGATTCTGAAAAGTGAAACTATATGCCAGGAGTCTTACAAACGCTATTACTCTATTAAAGTACATTTAAGAGTAAAATATCAGTCGTCTTTCTAATAAGGTAACAGCCAAAATGAACAGTCATATTAATTGCATCAAGCATCCCTAAAGTAACACTGCTCATTTGAAAAAAAAAAAAAGTGTGTGTGTGTGTGTTTGTTTGTGTGGTAGGTAGGTAGATGATGTACTATGAAACCAAACTAGCTCTTCCTCTGGAATTTTTTTCCTTGCTTTAAAACAATTCCTCCTCAGTCTATATATTCAAGGTTTCTTTGATAGTAGAACGTAACAGTGTTTCAAAGTGAAGTCAATTATTGTTATTATTTCTTACCCTCCTGAAAACAATAATCATGTAAACTAACAGAATACATATCTTTATATACAACCAGGTTTCAATGTCACACACTTGCAAACTAAATAAATAAACATAATGTAAATGAAACCCTGGATCAATACTTCCCAAAAAGAAAGAATAACATATTACATATCCATACATTGTTACATACAAAAAGCAAGACTAGATTTTTCACCTAAACTAGAAGATGAAAGAAATAATTCTTTACTTATATGTCAGTATATACTTAGGGTACGTTATTTTAAGTAAATATTTTTTGTTGAAATGCCATCACAATGTTTCAAGTACAATTTTGTCTGCTACATAGAGAACAACTATACTCTAAATTCTAAATAATAACAATAATAATTTAGAGGTGAGTTTCTCAGGGAAACTTACACAGCCTTGTACACCTCAGTTGCTCATCTCAAAGGAAATGTCCTATGATGTTACTGAAACTGTCAGCCAGTATTTCCAATGCTCATATGATCTATGTTAGTATTTAGGGAGCTCCTGAACAAAGTGAATGAAAAACTTCTTAACACATTTAAGACAACAGATGTGGAAGACTCAGAAAGATCAGGAGAACCTTCTGCTGTAAGTTTCATATGACTCCAGCCCACATAGTAAATTGTAAATGATTTCAAATCCTCTGCTCTCTCCTGAAACATCCACTCCCCAAACTCCTGTCACACTTCCTCATAGCTGACATCCTCATAAAGGACTTCAAAAAAAAACTGAAATGAAAGACAAAAGAACTCCCTCCCACTTCTTTAACTCCACACTGACACTCTGCCATTCCTACTGTCACAACACACAGAGATCCCTGTATCCTGTGATGGACCTTCAGCTCTCTTAATTTTGTTTCTGCTGGGATAGCAATATATTCTGAAAGAGATGACAGATGATAGAGAAATTGAAAAAGTCCTCTGTCCAGAAACACTATCTAGTATATATTTATTTACAGTATTCTGTATATAAATAAGCCTCAAGTTCACATATATAAATCTAACCCCAACTTTTTTATAACCTTAAAAAAAAAAAATCAGAGTTAGATCTTTACCTTAACTATCCCAAACAGTCAAACTTTTCAAACTTCTTTGAGAGACAGAAGAAACTACCAAAACAAATACAAAAGGAAAGGATTCCCCTTATAAATCAGTCACCTATCAGGGCTGATGGTTTTCCCTTTCCAGTATTTCTCCTGGTCTCTCCCCCCAAGAGTCTTGGCTCATGTTCCAACTGCTCATGACTGAACTCTGGTGCTCTTTCTGCCATAACATTTTTGGCATTCTAAAACCTCCACACAGCAAATCCATGTTTCAGATGTCCTTGGTATGATGTCGCTGTGAAAAGATTACTGAGGCTTCTCGCAATTTGAGTTTAATTCAAGGCCTTTTCATAACTGTACTTCCCTTAAAGACCCCAGCCACCACCTTCAGGCCTGCTGCATTCCATAAGTGCTTGCTGTCCCTCTCCCTCTGCTCTCATCTCACTCTCTCCATGTAACACGCCTCTTGGTAGCTTCCAAGACACCTGGAATTCACCCTCCATTTTTAAATCCCACTACCAAACCTCTTGAGCCATGGATCAGTCTCTCCATCCTGAACTCCATAAGGAAGTGGGGGGCGGGGAGGAGGGAGAATTCAAGCTGGTCAAAACAAAGTCTATCAATATTACTTTGACCCAATTTGAATATTCTCTGACACTACATCACTTGCTTTAGAATTTAAAAAAGTTAAAATTGTACAGAATTACCTTTGCTTTTTGAGAAATTTTATTGTACATTGTATATGTGGTTATGAAGCATTGCTGTTTAATTAACTGGTCTGCATCCAAATGGAGAGGGTTGTATACAAGGCTTTCACAGTGCCTAGGAGAGTGCTCCTGCTTACCCACAATAGACCTTCCACAATACTGATGTGGAAAAGGAGCATGATATGACTTGCATCAGCATTAGACAAAATGTGTCATTTTCTTCGAAGTTGCAAACAGTTGACATTACCCGTAATATAAAAGTAAAGTTCCATAAATAAATTCCTGGCACTCATTGTTACCTTAGTCTAGAACTTTCACAACTTTCTAGATCGATTATTTTTTTCCACCTGGGGCTTTTAACATCCCTGTGCTCAGTGCCGCAACTCACAACCCTCAAGGTTTAGCAAACTCTGTTACACATAGTTTAAAGAAAGCAATTCATGATTATTCAAGTGATAATTGGAAAGCAAAAGGAGTGCTAGCCAGTCCTCCAGGGCTGAAAAATTCAGCACCTTTAGAGACCTCTGTCTCCACCCCCTGAAACACTGGCTGTTTACACTAAGAAGACTGGCGCCATGGCCCCCTCTCCCTCACATCTGTATCACCCCCTTCCATGCAACATCCCTCTGGATAGCTCCAGAGGCAACCTGAAAATCCAAATTGCAACTGTAAACAGTGGTGGCTGGACTGAGTCTCCTCCGGGGGTGGCCTGGCCCCAGATAACGGGGCCCCAGATAACCCTTCTTCCAACCTGCCTTGAGTGGCCGCTGTCCAGAGCCCCACAGCCTCAAACTTAAGGGCACAGCCAGCCTTGGGATGTTCCTGGACATCACCCCCACCACTTCAACGTCCTACTATCAGCATCCCGGGAATGAAAAACAGGAAGGTTGCAACTTTCAGGTTTTGTCGTTGGAAAATGTGTTTCCATGTTCATACAGAGGTGGAACTAAAAGATGACAGGGCCTTGGGTAGCTGCAGTCCTGGTCAGTTTAGCTGACAGGTGAGAAATTTCTTGTCTCCAGGCCATTTCAGGGGCACTCTGGTGCAGGAAGTAGGATTCCGGCACCAGGAATGCGCTGGTCCAGGGTCCATAGGGGAAGGGGACAGAGGGGAAGAAAACTGGGAAGTCTCAAGGACAAGGAGGGGCGCGGCGAGGAAAGGGCAAGATACCTGGAAATTGTCATGAGAAGGATGGAAATGGGTGAGGAGTAGGCGGACTGGAGACAAATCGGTGAATAGAGGAAGATGGGGCGAGAGGAGGATAAGCAACAGCGAGCGCAGTGCCTCGGGCTGCGGGCGTCCAGCCGCGGCGGGGCCAGTCGCTTCCAGAGCGCCGACGAGGCTGGCGGCCGGCCGAGCCCCGGGAGCCGGAAAGTTGGCGCAGAGAGGGCCAGCTGGGCAGCGCCCCCTGCGCCGCGGGGAGGCGCCGGGCTGGCAGCGGCGCGGCGACTTACCTTCTGGTCGACGATGGAGCAAGCCATCTCGCGGACGTGCGCCAGGCTGTAGTCCCCAGACGAGTCCTGCAGCAGCAGCACTGGCTCACGGCTCAGGCCGATCTGCAGATGGAACGAGATGCCCCCGACCGGGGCCGCGACGGGAGCCAAGAAAGGCGCGGGCCCGGGCCCGGACCCTGGGACCAGTGCGGCGGCAGCTGCCGCAGCGGCTGCCGCCACGGGCAGCAGGGGGCTGGGCGGCCGCAGGACCGGAGGGGCGCTCATCGCTCAGCGGGGCGCGGGGCCGGGCAGCCGAGGGCGGGGGCCGGCGGCGCGGCAGCCGAAAAGTTTTGCAGCGGCTCAACCAGGAGCTTCTTTCTCCGAGAGCCGAGACGGAAAATAAAAACTTTCCGGAAAAGTCCCCGCGCGGGGGGAGGGCAAGGGGATGAGGATCAGGAGGGGAGGGGACTGAGGGGAGGAGATGGGAAGGAGGGAAAATGGCCGAGGCGGGAGGACTCTGCGGCCCGGAGCGCGGCCGCCGGCGCGGGGCCGCCGGCGCGGGGGAGGCGCCGCCGCCGCCGCCAAGAAGCTGCCGCCTGGCGCGCTCGGAAGGACGGGGCGGCGGGTCGGCGCGGCCAGAGCGCCGGGCGGGGGCGTGAGGGGCGGGGAAGGGGAGCTGGGGGCGGGCACTGCGGAGCCACCACCCGGCGGGCGCGGGAGTCGCAGGAGCAGTGGCCGCAGGGTGCCCGGTCGCCGCCCCCTCCGCCCGCAGTTCCCGAGGCCTGAGCCTCCGCGAGCCGGGATAGGACCGAGTGGCGGGGCTCGGAGCCGCCTCGGCAGGAGCGGCCCTTCCCTCCCTGCAGGGACTCCAGTCCTCGCGGGTCCCGCTGCCCCGACTGCGGACGGAGTGGATAGGGCGCACCTCCTCACACTCGCTTCCTGGGGTCGCGAACTTCCCGGGCCCCACGGTCCCTGCCACCTCTTCCAAATGCTCGAGGACTACGCACTTCTACAAGTGAGGTGACTTTTGAGGAATTCAAGAATGCTGATCACAGCGGTTCCCCTCGGGTCTTACCTTCGGAGGGTCAAGGGAGGATGGGTCATCCGGAAACCACTTACATCCAGGCCCCTCTGGGAGCCCTGGGGTTTGTTGCCAAAGAGGGTAGAAGCCAATCTACAGAAAGGGATTTAAACTTGTCCCTACCCTTTTTGTCGCTCTGACACGCCATTACAGCCAACCCTACCTACTCCACCCCAGCTCCTAAGGCACCGGATATACACAGTGATCTAAGGAGAGGGTCGCTTTGGAAAGAAAAGGCATTGACTGCCCAAGGGCAGGAGGAGGGTCTGACGCGGTTTCCTTTCCTTTACCTTATTCTTTGCGCTTGAAGTTTCTCCTTTGGAGCTTCAGAAACTATTTTCCTTCTCCTCTATCTAAAGTCTGTTATATAGGAGCAGTGCTCCCAAGTCCACCTCAGCCCCGCCACCATGATCACAAGCACAGCCATCAGGATTGTTCACAACCTGCCCTAATTTGGATCGTTTATTTTTGTTGTTTTGGCAGGGTAGGGATTGTTTTACATTCGTTGGAGATGAATTCTAATTCTCTCCTCCCACCAGGGTGGGCTTCATGGGTGTGCGACTGTGCAGTTGTATAGGCCACAGCTCATAAGACCCGTGTTTGGTTTAATGTTCTGGAACAATAGTCTGCTGTCGCTGTTTCGTTCTTCATAATTTTTAACCAAGGAGTCTTACATTTGTATTTTGCAATGGGCCACACAGATTATGTAGTCAGCGCTGCCTCTCTCTTCTCCACTTCCCTAGACTTTCCCCTTCCCCTGCTTAAGTACACACAAACATACCTAAGCAAACATTTTGTATTTTGTATAGTTTATTTTGTTCTGATATATTTATTTATTTATTTATTTATTTATTTATTTATTTATTGTCTTCTGCTTGTGGCCTAAGATATTGCAAGGTAGCTTCCTTTAGAACGGTGTTCCCAGGGTCAGTAATGGAGCCTCAACACTGCAAGGCTGCACAACTACATTGAAGAGACTTGAATTTATTCTCTGAATTTGATGGTTTGATAAGGTCTACCTGTGTTTACATTTTCCCTGCGTGGTTACTTATGAGGTGGTCCTCTTCATCCATGATACAGGTAGGTAATTTTCCTAATGTTCTAGATTCAGCTAATCTAGGAGAACGGTGGAATTTTTCTTGATGAAATGCCTTTCTGCATTCTGTAGGAGGTTTTTTTCTTTTAAATGTCCAAAACTATACTTCCATTTTCTTTCAAATTAGAATAAAGTCAATATTCTACAGTTTTCTATTATCAAAAAAAAAAAAAAAAGCTTGCCGGTCAGTTTACAAGAGACTTACAAAAAGCTAGTTTCACGTGAGATTCTAGAGAGCTGAAGACATTCATGTTTTATAGATATCACAGCTACATGTTGAGGACTTCTCTGTTTCAGGAACTGTACTGGCACCAGTCGTGCAGCTGTGAAGACAGGTGGTCCTTGCCCTAAAAAGATCACAGTGAAAAGGGGAGGGGGATGGAGTAAAACCACAAATGATATTATTTCTAATATTCATAATTGCAATAAATTTTTTAAACCCAGTGGTGAAGACAGTGATTTGTGGGAGGAGGGGGTGAAGAAATGGGCACTGCTTTGGACTGGGAATGAGAGAAGACTTCACTGAGAAGTTTACATTTGAGCCAAAATCTGGATGATAGAAAGGGTAAACTTCAGAAGAACTGGGGGAATAACATTGTAGGCACAGGTAACAGAGTGCAAAGACTCTAACACAGAAATGTATTTAACATTTTCAAGGCATAGGAAAAGAGGGGCAAGTGCATGAAATGAGGTGGGAGAGCTAATAGAAGCCAGGTTACCAGGAGTCTTGAAAGCCATAGTAAAGTGTTTTTATTTTAATTCTCAGTGCACTGCCAACCCTATGGAAGGTTTTAAAGCAGGGAATAATAAGATTAATTAGCATGTTTTAAAAGATTACTGTCTGGATTTTGTGTGGATTATAATAGAAAAGAGTAAAAGTGGAGACACTAGGTAGGAGACTTGCTGTTTTTCAGTCTAGAAACATGGGTTAGACTCCTATGGTTGTAGAAGAGATGCTAAGAGATGGAAAACTGCAGGCTGTATGTTAGCGGAAGTTCTTGCTGAATGAATCAGAGACATTTACAAGGAGTGACAGAACAAGGGTGTCACAAAAGACTCCCAAGTTTCTGAGCAATTTGACTGATGGTGGTACCAATAATTGAGACAGAAGATAGAGAGTGAGCAAGTTCAGGGAGAAATAAGATTTCTACTTTGACCATGTTGAGTTTGATATGCTGCTATCTATTCAACTTAGAAATAACAACTAGAGCTGGATGGGTCCAGCATCCAGAAAAGAGAAGAGGGCCAGAAATACATTTAGAAATCTTCTCAGTGTGCAGAAGGCATTTCAATGTGAGATTAGATGAGAGCTCTAGAGAGAAATAGCTTAAAGCACTTACCAGTTATGAGACTTAGAGGAACTTAAAAAAACTGTATGAATAACTCCTTTTTAGACTATGATTTATCAATAGTATGAAAGATTCATGTAGGGTGTTGGAAATAATTGAGAAGGAAACAGGAGAAGGAATTCTAAAGATGACCTAGAGAATTAACTTTAAGAAGGTGAAATATTACTGAATGCAAAAGAGTAAATAAAGAAAAGCAAGAAGAAAAGCAAAAAATATATATATATATCCACCAGACCTCCCCATCGCAAGCAGAAAATTCCCATGGAGTTAGTTATTGCAATTTCTATTGTAGGCACCTGAAATCTAACAGTTTTCCACTTGCTACTCACTTTTGCTAAATGACAAGGGAATGAATAAACAGATAATATCTATAACAAATCTGGTGTATATCTCTGGCAACTTTGAAATTGTACATAGAAAACTTGAAGGATTTGGGAAAATCTGGTTTTAATCTCTTCTGGATGTTTTAATTTTGGAAAAGAAAAGAGGATATAGAAAGTGAATAGTAGCTTATATGAATTATATTCATGAAATGGGCTTTCATTTTTTAATCCTGGCTAACAAGACAGGAATAATGGACTACTAGCAGTGACTGGGAGCACAACTTTGGAAAGAAAGTTTCACGCCCTAATCAAGACTCCACAAAAAAGTGAGGTGGACCTGCAAGGGTAAGAAAGTTTCACGCCCTAGACCGGGTGCAGTGGCTCACACCTGTAATCCCAGCTACTTGGGAGGCTGAGGCAGGCAGAATCACTTGAACCCGGGAGGTGGAGGTTGCAGTGAGCCAAGACCATGCCACTGCACTCCAGCCTGGGTAACAGAGCAAGACTCCATTCCCCCCCCCAAAAAAAATAAATAAAAATAAAGAAAGAAAGAAAAGAAAGAGAAGGAAAGAAAGAAGCCAAATTTCTGTGTATGATCCTAGAGTCAAAGACCCCAAAAGGACAGGAGGCCCTTGAAGAAAAGTTTTCAACTATAAAATCACAAATGATCCAGGTGAGGAATAAATGCAGAAACCAGTGTGACTACACCTCAAGTTTTGGATGAGTA